TCGCTCCACAGATGTAGATATAGATTTTGCTTCGTTTCGCTCGGACATTTAACGGCGTGTACATACACGCGGAATCACTCGGACATTTAATGGCGTAGACATACACGCAAAAGATTTCGGCGTGGACATACACGCGGATAGCTCAAAATGCGTATAGATAACACGCCACTTGAATTGAAAGTGGCGTGTATGTTTACGCAAAGTCATGATGTCATGTTGGTGAAATTGACGCCTTCCTTAAAGAATATTTCTCCCCAAAATGAATATATTATTAAAGAAAATCATAATTATAACGATTTATGTACCAAGTCTTCAGAAGCCAGACAATAGCTTTGCGTTGCAGCTCTTTAATTTCATCCACTTGGACAATTGCTGCCTCATGTCATGACTAGATTTGATTCATAACACCAACAACCACTGCTTCTTGCTGATCTGACAACACTGATCTGATCAATTCAGATGAAAATAACATTTACCATTATCACATAATTCAAAGAATAAGACTTTATATTTGCCAGATCAACCTTCAAATTGATAAGGTTATTTTCAGTTTTCAGACATTCACAAGTGTTTGAATGTCTGCTGATTGTTTTACTCACCGAAGTCGCTGTAACCAAGATTTACAGAATTGAATCTTGATTGCTCACACCTGCTCATCATTTTTCATAGTTGTGTATTTATAGTCTCATTCACTCTCTGGGCATTTTTTGTCAAGTCTTAATTGTAATTGCCACTGCAATTTTCTATAATCATATTCCTGTCTGTCATGGTTCATCTGACTCCTGTTATCAGGGCTGGACTGGCCATCGGGCATACCGGGCATTTGCCCGGTGGGCCGACGTGCTTTGTGGGCCAATACATCTCATACTTAATTTTTTTTTGTCTGAACGGCCCATAAAACTCGTACATCGGCGGCCCATTGCGTTTAGTTTTGTTTAATTGGCGGCTCTGGGATCTTTGTGCCGGTGTAATGCATTGGACAAAAAAGTCAGCGTAGGTTTTTCTTTTTCTCACAGACCGGCGCATGATGAAACACGTAGATCAGCAGCCCATTGGTTATTTTCTTGATTGACACTGGGCTGGTCCAATCACATCTTTAAACTCCTCCCCCTTTGAGCTCTGAGTGAGCGAGCAGTGTCAGTGTGTATCTGTCAAAATAGTCAGAGCGATGGAGAAGAAACGCAAGGAATGTGCAGAGAAATAGCGTGAAAAAGAAACTTCAAAGGCCCTTCAAGTGTCTGATGAGGATAGCGAGGACTGACTCGGATAAGGAGAGAGATGAGTGAGTGCAGAGAACTGTGGTAAGCAGAACTAGGCTACTGTCACAACGTGTTCACACCGAACGCGAATAGAGCGTCAAATACGCGTCTATCGCGTTTAGTTAGACGCTTGAACATTCGCTCGAGTTCAAATTTTTCAACTTGCGCGGAGGACATTCGCGGCAAACGCGTCGCCCAATTCGCGTCATTCGCAACGCCCGGCGCGAATGATGCGTCGTTGCATTGACTTTGTATGTAATCTACTCGCCCAAATAATTAAATTCGCGTTCGGTGTGAACACACCATTAGGCTATGTAGGAACCCACTACCCAGTTACGCATTATTTACACATCTGCATATTTGACGATTACGCATTTTATTAGAATTGTAATGAGACAATAATGAGTAATGAGTTTGTAAACCATATTTTTCTTCAAAATAAAAGCTCGATGCCGTTTCCGTCAAAATAAAAGATCATGTGCTTATCTATAGAAATTAGTACGAAACTAATTATGAAAGTTGCTTTTATTTTTCAGTGCATTTGTTTTACAACATATGGCTATTACTGCCATGGGATTAATATTATAACTATTATTATGTAGTGTAATGTAGACAGACATATCACAACTAAAATAGTTTTGAGTTTTTCTTTGTTCAATTTGCACACTGAATATGGGTTGGAGCTCTTTATTTTTAACTCTCAAAGTGCAAAGTGCAATTTTTTAATTTTTTTCTTTCTCAAAATGCTCAAGGATATCAATTATATAAATGGGGTTCAGTATTTTTCATAAGGAATTCACAAGGAATTAAAATAATGGTATATGTACTCATTCCGTTTGTCATCTGTTCTATGGGCATGAATGATGCATCATATTGAAAAACGTAGGAATATCAGAATAAACATGCACTTACAGGTGTGCACTTTTTCAAAATATCTACATTTACAACCCCACGCTATGACAATTCCAACCAGAGGGTCTCCGAAACTTGTTCATGTGGTGTGTATCATATGATAGCAAATGTGCTAGTGCTAACAATAGTAAATTAGAACCACTGTTCTGCTGTGTAAAAATTTGTAAGCATGTGTCATATTCTCTGTTTGTAAGGTTTACATACCATCAGAAATTAAGAGTGCCTTAAATCTAATATTCATACCTTTGCATGTTAGAGGTTAATCTCTATGCAGTAACTAAAATGACTAAAACTAAAGTAATGAGTAACTAAATAGAATTGTTTTTACAATACAAAAATTAACAAATTAAATTTAAAATCGATAATAATAATAAATATATATATATATATTTAAAATAATCCAGTGAATACTATAATAACACTGGATAGAAATAGAGAGGTTTATCTGCAGACATTCAGATGTTCTAAATTATTTCTTATTGAAAACCACGTTTCACTTCACAATAGGCTTTATGCCGAGCGTCAAGTGACCAAACCGGAAAACGGGTCTCATTGCATCCGCTTGTCAGAGAAAGTGTTAACGGCCGTAAGAACTAACTACGATATCTATGGATTTTTAAGGTAAGTTCACTTTGTTATCGGTGTTTTATGCTATTTAAATATCTAAACGTTAGTGTGAAGAAGAAAAATTAAAAAACTTTTAAATATCAATCTGCACATGCGAGGGACATTGGTTATGCTCATTTTTGCTTGCTCCTTTTAAGTTATCTTGAGTAAAAGCGCAAACAATTTTTTATGAAGCACATACAAAAGACCTGAATCGGAAGCGATGTGATCTGTTTTCCGGCTTGGTCACATGACGCTCGGGATAAAGCCTATACCCCATGTTACGTTACAGAAGTTCAGTGGGTTGCAGATAGCCGTTCATTTTGACCTTAACATTTCCTCCTATTATTTTCTGTATTTAACCGCTAACAGCTCTGATTGAAGCACAAATGTTTAGGTCTCTCATTCTTCTGCCAGTATGTTATATGGGACTTACGCTATTTTAGGCTCTGTAACTAGACTATAGGTCATGTTTTTCTTCTCCCATATTCGAATTTCCGGTCCCCATGGGAATGCCTTTTCATAACATCTAAAGCTGCCATAAGATTCCTCAAGGTTCCCTGGGCAACAGTCCAGGACAGGGAAATCTACTTTACAGCAACCCAGGAAGGAAACCACGTCTAGAAGGAGGGTGGTCACCTCTGAGGCCTCTGGTCTTCACACTTGATTGGCATGTCAGAATATCGCATGCATTATAAATGGCTTTAATTGCACCTTTAAAATGGTGTTTGGGGAGTACATTAGTGTCTGTCAAGGCTCTTCTGGGACCTGCAAATTTAGGCATCATACCCATCTTCTCTCCAGTAACCAAATGTAAAAGAGTTGGCATGTTCTGAAGTGGAACTTAAAGAATGTGACCAATTTTAGAACCATCTCTCAGATGCCGTTTAACTTTAAAGGGTCATGCATAGGACGGGCATAGCATAATTTGATTGCATTTTATATATTTCATATTTTCATGTACACACCATGTTGGAGTTTTTTTTTTTTTTTACATTTGGCAGACATTTCTGTCCAAAGGATCTCACTGCAGTCAAAATGCATTCATCATTATACGTATTCCCTGGGAATTTAACCCATAACCCTGTTGTTGCTAATGCCAGTTAAAAGAACAGCCTCTAACTAAAACATGCCAATGGCCAGCTTCACTCACTCGCATTCACTCACATACATAAAATCCGGTGACAAGTTTATGAAAGTTTAATTGGCACTCCTGAGATAATTGGCACTTCTTGTTTAAAAGACACTGTGTTCACATAGGATGCACAGTATAGATACTTTATAATGCAAAAATAGCTTGTATATTATATCAAACACTTTGTCCAATCTTTAAGAGATATTTTGCAAGTGATTAAAGGGCAATAAAAGTAAATAAAAGTTAAGCCTGCGCAATAGTGTTAATACCACAATGTTGATTACCACAATAATAATAATAATGAATAAATAAATAAGTAAAAAATTAAAATGTGAAAAATGAAGTTTATGGCGATGCACTTTCAATGCCACGGAATGGTGCTAACTGTTAAAGGATTTAAAAGCAGAAATGTCAAGACTAAAGTTGTATTAAAGCACTTACAATAATTCTGTTACCACTGTACATTTACTGATGCTTTAGGGATTTAGGAGTTGTTAAGGCATTCAACAAAGTTATAAAATTGGATGTAAAATTTTAGTACTATTAAAAGAGTCATATTTTAACATTTACGGAATAGCCCTATTAATTCCTACTGTAAGTGTATCACTGTAATCCCAAATTTTGCTTTTTTTTTAAGAAAAAGGAAAAAGTCAAAATACATTTTTGGTAATCAACATTATGCCACAAATGCTGTCGATTGAGCTTAACTTGTATAGAACTTGGAATTTTCCTTGAAAATTTGCCGAATGTATTGCAATATTACAAATGTTAGTTATGCTGTAGTGTAGACATTACGAGACAACCATCATAATAATCTGTTGATTTTATTTTTTATTTGTCAAGTAATTTTGTACTGGGGCAACTTTCGAAGCTTCCTGCATTGATGCAGGCCATTATGTGAATGTATGCTTTTAAAGATAGCCTGGAATGTGTTCTGACACAACTCGTCAATCAACTGAGCTTCTAGGATTTGATTCAAGCAATGCAGAATTTAAACAATTTACATAGTGAAAAAATGTATCCTACATATTTTTTTTTTGCATGTCTAATTTATTGTGATTGTTGTTATTTATTTTTTGTTTATTTGGTAAAGCTGAAAGTGCACAATCCATCTTTAAAGTAAAAAATAAAGTAGTTTTACAAATGAAAATAAGGTTTACCTCTCAGAGTTTACCTTAATTTTCAGCATGACATTTCTTGTTAGGATCAATGGATTGAATACACCCTGATATCACTGAGACAATGCCATGTTGGCACTACAGATAACACTTTCAAGCAAACAGGAAAAATCAAATACCTTTTCTTATTCATTTTGCCACATAAGTCATCCTTTTCTGTTGCTTGCACTGAAACAAAAGATCCAACATATGCATGACCAGCAAATCATTTATTTCACTAGCACTTTACAATAAGGTTGTATCTAGTAAGCAGTTAGCTAATGTTAACAAATGAAACCTTATTGTAAAATGTTACCATTAATGAGCTGCCTTATTATCTACTGTCTACATAGCCAAATGCCAGCACAATTACAGCTTTTTTGTCATGATTACATATGACACCTTAAAATGTCTTGGTAGGAAGCTCATTAGGTTTTGAACTTTTCTGAGTAATTTCATGACATACCCCTCACTGCCTTTTGTAAAGGATTAAGACAATGCTATTTTCTTAATTTATGGGTATGACTTGTAAAGCTTTGAAGACATTAAATCATGCAGGCAGAACATTCAGACTGATTTTAACTTATGGTTTATCTTGGCAGACTTTCTGAATTATTCTTGCTGGCACTCCACATAAGAAACTGAACAATCACACAGTATTGGATGTGACATACCAAGGATCCACTCTAACAGTGCAAACACACTATGTGGTCGTCAAAATTGTCTCATTATCTTTAAGCATAGAAGTTTTGAAACATTTTCAAATAATTTTTTTAATAAAAAATGCCTCAGGGTGTTTTCCCTTGAAATGACTTTAACAGTGATTTATCTTACAGTGACTGATCATGAAAATAACAAGCCAACCTGTTTATTTATTTTAAGTCACAACGTAATTAACGCTGCAGGATCCATGAAGAAAATAGCTCTTCTGTGCTTCCCTAAAAACCTAACCACTGAGTATCAAAGCAATCGACAGTGCTTTTTACTTTTGCACAGTTTGTATACTATGTTTACTGAGACACCTGAAAAATCATTGATGCATGCAAGAATGTGTTGCTCTGTAAAATTTTGATGTTGCCTGCAGGGACAACAACAGTACTTTTTGTAAATACCCAGTGGGATGAGTGCTTTACGCTCCGTGCGTTGCCTGTCAAATGGAGATCTGGCTGAAGAAAAAGCCTCTGAATGAAAGAAAAAAACAAAACAAAAAAACAGACAACGCCTCCTTTAAAAGTGTGCAGAGTAGAAAAACCTCTTAGTCAAGATGAGCCTCAAGTTCGGCCATTTCTGAATCAATTATTTAACTGAATTGGATTAGATGGCCTCTGTGATTTCCCTTCTTCTGTCTCTACTAGCCATCTATGTCCATCTGCATGTCTGTGGATGGTTTCAGTCTCAGCATGATATGTTTCACATTTCCCTATTGTGGATGTTGCACTCCACTGGATAAGAAGCATCCTATGGCATAAGTTCTTTCTGGTTCTTTGGGAGGGTACAGATCAATCCTGAATGGTTACTTGTGGTGTGGTATATGATTCAAGGGGTCTTTGTTTTTCCAAGGGTTTAATCAATTTTAAACTTTAGAAACAGGTAGCCTATTGCCCAGTGTGTCCATTGCCTTTTTGGCAGCCTGAGAAGCTTCCTCCACATGTCATGAGCACTTGGCCTTGTGCTATACCACAGTGCTGATGGTGGAAGACTCCTCAGACTTGCCTTGCCTGCTGGGCAGAGACTTGAGATACTCCAGGTGGCGCCTGGCATCTTCCTGATTGTGTCTCACATAGTAGACCAGATAGGAGATGACCATGGTGAACCATCCAAACATGGTCACCAACATGGCCACATCCGTGGTCTTTTTGAGCACCACACACAGGTCCAGGTCTTTGGCCAGCAGGAAAGGCACACCTTGGGCTCCAGAGTCTAAGGGTTCAGATGTCTGACAGATAATGCCAGTCAAAGACACAGGCTCTAGGTCTAGGCGTGGAAGGGCTGTCTGCAGCCTGCAGTCACAGTGCCAGGGGTTTCCAGTGAGGTTAGATCTAGCTGTAACGCCATCAAAGGCATCTGGGTCCAACATCGTGAGCTGGTTGGACGAGAGATCCAGAAACTGCAGAGAGGCTGCCAAGCCTCTAAAGGCTCCCGGTTCAAGCAAAGCCAGTTCATTATGGGAAAGATCTAGTTCAGCTAGCAGTGGAAGATCATGAAAAGCATTGGCAGGGATGCTGGTCAGGAGGTTGTAGTCCAGGTAGAGGCGTCGTGTGTCATTGGGAATGTCCTGAGGGATCTCAGTAAGATGCAGGTTGCTGCAGCGCATGGTCTTGCCACCAAATGAGCCCTCGCTGTCTGAACAGTAGCAACGTTTGGAGCAGGAAGTTGCAGCGTGGTGGAAACTGAGTGTCATCAGCACCAAGCTGTGAAACAGCAACCACATGACCACAGAGTGCCGAAGCAGCCAACCTGAGGGTAGCAGCATTGTGGGACGGCGGGCATAATCCCTTTGGAGTATCACCTGTGCTGAGAACATCCAGGAGGCTGTACCCAACATCAAAATCCCCAACAGCTTGCAAGCCTAGAAAATTGAAAAATACCATTACCAGTTAATAGAGAATATATATTTCTTTAATGTTTCAGACTTCGGAATATGTAAAGATCAGAATGGGGTTTCTAGTAATGCCAGTGTGTTTCATGTGTCCGAGGATTTTGAAGTATGAGAATGTTAAGACTGTTAACTGATTAAAACATTTGGTCGAAAATGATTAATCTAACTGAAACAAATGATCCTTAAACCCGTTCAGAGCAAATGTATAAATATTGATATACATATTTCAAACATTGTCAAAAGAATGAATAATGCAGAGATTATATTTTTTCTATATTGCCCAGTACTATTTAATACTATTTAATTCCATGGTCTTGACATCACAAATACCCATTAATGCAGCCATGCTATTGTTTAACTGCATGTACAATCTATTATTAAATCTAATTTCCTTTTTCTTGTCATCTATTGCAGCAATGCCTCACCAATCTCTTATGATTTAAGGATTTTTACTTTGCCCATAATTAACGCATTCTTCTAATGTATGTGTAGTATACACAGACACACATACAGATGTATCACAAACCCACACGACCCAGATGTAATAAACAGATTGAAAAGAAGATTGATGCCTTAACCTTTAAATCTTAATTTACTCATGGTAAATGGTTTGCTTATTGCTCAAAGCAATGGGGTTTTTAGCTATTATTTTTTACCCACCGGCTTTATACTCTTTTAACTACGCACGCTAAGCAAGGCTCAAACAATCAGAAAACTTTCAAAGAATATGTACTCATGTTGTAAAGGGAAAAAGCGGCACTTCCTCAAAAGTGTTGATTGATTGAAATCCCTGCTATGGTCAGCTATGCTGGCCTAATTCACAGCTCTGCCACAGGCATTAATGTAATCCAGGACTGACAAAAGATGACAAGGCATGTGACCAAGATGTTTCAGGTCTAGAAACTTCAAATAGGTAAAACGGTTACATAATGTCTGCCCTTTTCTTTATTTTTAAACATCTAATATGAATCGCAAAGCAGAGTTACCAAGAAATTTCCCTTCTAGATTTTGAGCCTATTTACACTTTGCTGTCTCCTTGGGATCCATCTGCTCTCAGCCACATCTGCAAATGGTGTTCACTTACATTTTGATTCTAATGCCCTGTGAGAAATTTTCTGTTGAACGTGCAATTAGTGTTTCAGTTCTCACATCTCTAGTTCATCATTGCTCCCTCACACATGGATTGCAGTGCTTCCCTTTGCTCACATAAAGCATATGAAGTGACCAAATGTAAATACCTTTTATGAGTTTTCTTTAGTTAATGACCAAGAATATATTATATTCAATTAACTAGACAGAGAGGCCTAGCTAAATAAAGAGTTTTAGAGAGGCAGATAATAGCCATTCCTTTCTCTGGCATTGTGACAAGACAACTTATTTAGCTTGTCTCAGAGTCTGATGGAAATCATACAGTGCACATTGTGGTAAAAAACAGCATTTAGCTGTGAGAGTGGACTGCCATGGTTTTAGAATTGGTAAATTTTTTCATTCATCTGAAGTTCTCATTGGGTTCACCTGAGAAATATTTATGAAATTTCTTATTAATAAACAGTACTAAAACAATGCATTTGTTTTAGATAATTGTAATGCATAGACAAATATTGTCTAGTCTGGTCAGATTGGACTTGTTTGCTGGTTTAAGATGGGTTTTGAGAACTTGTCAACTTGGCCAGACTGGGAGATCAGCTAGACCAGCCATTTGCATAAAAATAGCCATTATGTGTCTTAAGTACTAATATGACCACCTAGCAGTTAGTCAAGAGGCAATCAGACATACTTTTTCGGTATCAACTTAAACCAATCTATGTTTTTAGGTAACTGACTTAAATAATTTATGAAAATGTGTTGAATAACTTGTAAGACTAATCTTAGAATGAATGAACGAATGAATGAGGCATTTAAATAGCGCTTTCATATGTACTACTGTACACCCAAAGCGCTTTACAATCATATCAGGGGTTCTCTCCTCAACCAGCACCAGTGTGCAGCATCCACTTGGATGATGCGACGGCAGCCACAGTACAACGGCGCCAGTGCGCTCACCACACACCAGCTATAGTTGGAGAGGAGAGAGAGTGGTAGAGCCAATTCAGTGGATGGGGATTATTAGGAGGCCATGATTGGCAGGGGCCAATGGGTGGAATGTGGCCAGGACACCGGGGTTACACCCCTACTCTTTACCAGAAGTGCCATGGGATTTTTAATGACCACAGAGAGTCAGGACTTCGGTTTAACGTCTCATCCGAAGGACGGTGCTCTTTGACAGTATAGTGTCCCTGTCACTATACTGGGGCGTTAGGACCCACACAGACCACAGGGTGAGTACCCCCTGCTGGCCTCACTTACACCTCTTCCAGCAGCAACCTGGTTTTCTCAGGAGGTCTCCCTTCCAGGTACTAACCAGGCTCAGCCCTGCTTAGCTTCAGTGGGCAACCAGTCTTGGGCTACAGGGTGATATGGCTGCTGGCGATAAGCAGTTTATGCAACCGGCTACAGAAAACCAGCTTTGCCCTGCTTGATGCTGTTAGCTGTTTTACCCTCAACCTTTATCCATAACCCTGCCATCCAAAGACATGTTAGCAAACACACTATCGGAAAACCGAAATGTGCAAAGTGACTGTGTCTGCACCTGTTCTCGTTAGTCCATGATTAGTTTACCTTCCTCCACCTGTGCCTGTTTAGCTCATACTCCCCGTTCTGTTCATCCTTTGTCAGTTATTGAATGTGGTCACGTTGTATGTGTTACTCACCAGTAAACTTTATTGTTATTTGGATCCTGCATCATTCGTCTTCCTTCCACGGCAAGTTTGTGACAGACTGACAGAGAAAATGTATTTTCCAATGTAATTTTACTGTAGCTTTAAGCACATTTTACATTTATTAATTCCTTTAGAATGCAAAAGCAAGTCTCTTCACTACGTAAAATCCAATTGAAAAGGCAGTTTTTATGGATATCTGAACTTGGATGATACACTTAAATATTCAGTGTTTTTTTTGTTTTCAGTTTAAGTTTGACATTTGAACATATCAGACTTGCAAAGTGCAATACGCTTCTTTATCCTGAGGCAAAGTTATATCTGTGTTTCATAAACTCCCCCAAAAAATCTTAATTTGAATACTTATATTTAACTTCTTTAGTCTTGCCACAAACACTGGTTGTCCTAAATATTGCAGATGGAAAAGACAACAGCCCAAATGATATACAGTACAAGAGAGAGCGGGCAAGAAACACTGCCTGCTATTCGAACTGTGGTTGCCATTTTGGATATTTAATCCCACCAGCGTTGTGGTCAGTAATCCATAATAATTGTTTCACTTAAGATGCAGCTCATTTTGTCTTAAGTGCAAGTAACGATGAACAACAACTTGCCTTGTAATTCACACTTTTTTATTTATTTTGTCCAGCCTTCTAAAAATAGCTTTCCACCTTAGCTCATTAATATATCAGCACCATAAGAAGCGGCTATCCTCTTACAAATCTTCAAGGCAACATGTTCTAGAAGGCAGAAGCCTTATGTTGGCTTCAATAACGTCCAACCTTGACTATTGTAAGAAAAATGATTTATAAATCCAAAGCCTGCAGCTTCCACCAGTATCACCAATTTAAAAAAAAAAATTAACCGGTTCTCTATTTATGTATTAAGGCTATTATACCCCGCCTCCAATTGCATTCAGTGCAACACAATGCAAGCATGTTTTCTCTAGTCAAATACCTCATGTAGGATGAACTAAACTTAATTGAGTAATCTCAAATAAACACAAACTTAACGTAAACATGCCCATATAGCAAATTATTTTGACGTGTTTATATTCTAGCAAGCTAAATATATACAGTCATGTGAAAAATAAAGGACACCCTATTGAATTCTATGGTTGTACGTATCAGGACATAATAAAAAATGATCGGGTCCTTGGAAGGTCTTAAAATGAGGTAAATTCAACCTCAGATGAACAACAACACATGGCACATTACACTGTGTCATTATTTATTTAACAAAAAGTTAAAATGGAACAGCCATGGGTGAAAAACATGAAAGTACACCCTTACTGCTTCCATATGAATTAAGAGAGTAAGTAGCAGTCAGGCACTGCTAATCAAATGTCTTTGATTAATTCATCATCAGCAATTGTGATCACCTCTATAAATCTTGTAAAAGTAATTGTTGCTGCCATCAATCTGAGAAGGGTTATTTGACAATTTCCCAAAAATTTGAAGTCCATAATTCTACAGTGAGAAAGTTTATTCACAAGTGGAAACCATTCAACACAGTTGCCAATCTTCCCAGGAGGGGATGGACATTCCAGCAAATTCACCCCAAGGTTAGACCGTGCAATACTCAGAGAAATCGCAAAAAACCCAGTAGCTACACCTCAGACTCTACAAGCCTCAGTTAACATGTAAATTGTTAAAGTTCATGGCAGTACAATTAGAAAAAGATGGGACGAGTATGGCATGTTTGGAGTTGCCAGGAGAAAGCTGCTTCTCTCTAAAAAAACATGGCAGCACAGCTTAGGTTTGCAAAGTTGCATCTGAACAAACCTCAAGAAATCTGGAACAATGTCCTTTGGACAGACGAGGCTAAAGTGGAGATGTTTGACTATAATGCACAGCGCCAAGTTAGATGAAAACTAAACACAGCATATCAACACAAACACCTCATACCAACTGTCCATCACACTGATGGTTTTGCAGCCACAGGACCTGGGCACCTTGCAGTCATTGAGTCAACTCCACTCTATACCAAAGTAACAGCTAAAGCTTGGCCGGAATTAGGTCATGCCAAAGGACAATGATCACAAGAACACCAAAAACTCAATGGCTGAAAAAACAAAAGAATTAAGGTGTTGCACTGGCCCAGTCAAAGTCCAGGCCTCACCCTGACCGAAATGTTGCGACGGGACCTTAAGAGAGCTGTGCATAAAAAATACCCGCAAACTTCAATGAACTGAAGCAACGTTGTAAAGAAGAGCGGGCCAAAATTCTTCCAGAACGATGCGAGAGACTGATACTCTCATATAGAAAATGGTAAATGGACTGCATTTATATAGCGCTTTCACAGACCCAATGGCCACCAAAGCGCTTTACATTTTGCCTCACATTCACCCATTCATACACCGACGGCGGTGTCAGCCATACAAGGCGCCATCCAACTCATCGGGAGCTGCTGGGGTTAGGTGTCTTGCTCATGGACACCTCGACACTTGGTCAGGTGGAACCGGGGATTGAACCACCAACCTTCTGGTTTGTAGACAACCTAAATGAACCACTGAGCCACTGCTGCCTTCAACTTGATTATAATGACACAGTGTAATATGTCATTTGTTGTTGTTCATCTGAGGTTGTATTTACCTAATTTTAAGACCTGCTAACGACCAGATGATTTATATTATGTTCTGATAGTAAAACCATAACATTCTAAAAGGGTGTCCTTTCTTTTTTACATGACTGTATTCTTTGGATTCTTTGCACACATGACATATAGCACTCATACTCAAACACCCATAGTTGTTGCATGATTATCAAAGAAACTTGAATTTTGTTTGCATGTGCTCAAACCAAGCGCATGCTCGACACTACACCAATGGTAACCAAAAAACTCCCCAACATAACAGAAACTATTTAAATACCAACATAATAGAACATTAAACATTTTCTCATCATGCTAAAAAAAACAAATGCAGAAAATAACGCTTTATTTCAACATACTCTCCCTATTCAGCTCTGTTCAAACCATGAAAGGAAGTGGAAATCCTGTTCCCAGTTTCTATAATGCTACTATAACACAAATAAAATCATTCCTATATTCTCAACTCGAACGGATTAAGTAATCTGAATGGATAATTCATTTGTTGGATTCATTTGTTTTCTTTAAGTAAATTGTAAGTAAAAAAAATATATTTTTGGAGTGTTCTTATAATTCTCAATTTTAAATAACAAATCCAGAAAGAATAAAAGTCACTGGGTTTGTAGTTGACAAATGGCAGCGGACCCGCCACTGTCCACTTACGCAGATTAAAAATGAAATCGATCTCTAAGTACCTCTTAGTATCACATAACGAGTGGGAGTCTCCTAAAGGAGGGACTGTTTGTTGAAGGGAGGGGGAAATAAGACGTTCTACAAAAGCAGCTGAAATGCCACGCAAATACTGAAGGCTGAGAAAGAGAGAGAAAGAGAAAGAGAGAAAGGAGGACATTACTTTAGCTTTCATGCTTCATTGACCAAAGTCTTCCCCTGCCAAAAAAAACTAAACAAAGACAGTTATTTACCCAGGTTTAAAGGAAACTGATTTTAGCTTTGCTGTCCCATAAAGTTTTCTTTCTTAAGGTGGGGAAGGTTGACCTTAGGAAAAATGAGAAAAGTGGTGGAGGAGAGGTTAGATAAGAGTCACAAACCCCAAACTGTACCGCTCATGAATACACAACAGGGTTCTGTCATGACATTTTCGCAAGTGATAGTGTGGGTCAGACACATAAGGAGAGACAGACAGACAGTGAAAGATGAGGACAACAAAGAGCTAAAACAGAGATTTGGAGAGAAGTATAGCTGTTGAGCCAGAAAAAAAATCAATGAAAGCTCAATAGCAGCTGAATGGACAGAGATGGACAGAGTAAAGGTTGAAACAAGACATGAGAGGGAAGCATGCAGGGGGTGAGGAGAAACCACACAGGATGTTTACATGATTCAACAGAGAGAACAAGAGAGGAAACAAGAGAATCTGAGGAGCGAGTCTTCCATTACAGAAGAGAAGAAAGAAGAGAAGGACGAAAAATGAGGTTAAAAGGTTCAGTACCGAACATTTTGGGGGAGAAAACTGATGTGACCCTGACCCTTCAATAAAAGGCCAACAAATATGTTTAGATTGGAGTAGGAAAGTAAAACAGTAATGTAATTGTAGTGATATTAATTAACATAATGGATGAGATTCGCAATTTACTGACATATGATTACTATTTCTGCCTCATTAGTTCATGTATTTTGGATGTTTGTCGGTTGCATGGGATCCTAGTTAGCCCACCACACTTCACAACTAACTTGTCTAGCATTATGTCCTTTTGAAAAACATGGCTATGCTGGTCCATCAGTCAGACCTGCACCAAACCGCCACTTATCAGCACAAATCAAATCGTAGAAGTATGGAAATTCATGTGATTTTTATGACTAGTCATGTACACAGATATTTTTGTCTTCATCAATTCCTAACTTCTTCTATGACTTGTCAAAGAATTTCATAGGATTTCTCCAGACTCTCAAACAAGTAAATAGTGAAGAGAATGAAAAATACATTAGAGTAGGGACAGGAAAGGTGGATAGAAGCTTTGACAGAGCTGAACTGAACTTATCTGAAGTGTACTGAATGGCGTGTCATTAGATTGAACTTGACTTAGGTGACAATTGGCCTGATATTGCCACTTTGTCATTTTCTTAAGCAGTTATTCTTGTTGCTCTTTCTGAATGTAAGCATTATGAGACACGACAGCCTGGTACATGACTGACTCTAGAGAGCTCTAACATGAGTTGAAGTTAAAGTAAATCAGTTCACCTATGATGGCCATTCAAATGTATCAATGTATTCTGACTAAATAAAATGAAATGGACTATTTCCCCCTGTTTGCTTCCTTTTACATCACAGCTCAGGGTTCTTTGGATTATGCACATTCTTGTGGTGTCATTAGCCAATCAGAGTTGCCATGGTGTCATTTTTTTCTGCAGCTTCAGAGTGATTAGTCACATTCAAATTATGACTCAAGTAATAGGCTCAAAATCTTCAAAAAACAACTGCCCATAAGCAAAGATGGCAGCAATTTTGGGGGGTCCGGTGCCAATTTAGCAACCATCACTGAGATGCATGTTAATATATATGTCTCTACGGGTGTTATGAAATAATTTCTTTCAATAATTGTTCAAAAGAACCACGTTTCAGAATTTAAAATTAAATTTAGTAAATTTAGTCTTTTTACATGGTAATATTCAAATTACGTCTAACTTTATTTAACATGACTAAATTACATAATGTTATATTAAAACATTAAATAATTTCCAGGGCCCGATCAAGTAGAAATATCTTTACGGTAACAACTGCACTTTTTCAGTTTTATACAGTACACATAATAGTGTAAAGGTAAAATGTGTGTGAGAGAACAGAGATTGGTGGTAAAAACAAACAAATAAAAAACAACTATATTATAATAGCTGCTTGATGTACACCAAACAGCATGTTGGTTGTTATATTACGCGTACGGCAGCTCATCATTAGGTTTAGTTTATGTTAATGAAACCAACAAAAGCTTTAACCATAAGAAACAGTTCTTAGTCTACAAACTATTGTGCATCCTCGTCTCGTGTCTTCTTTAATAATTCATTTCAAACAATGTCTGAGTGCTCCTGAATGCTGGAGTGTGTGATAGTTTACACAGAGCCCTGCATGCCAACCTGAACTATATTTAACAGATTTTTTAATCAATAATCTACATAATTTTGACTTATTAATAACCATAAAGCAATTATCTTGAAGGTCTAAAGGTCAACTGACAAATTAAGTGAACTGACATCAGTTACATATATTAATATAAACATTATTAAAAACACAAGTTATTGTTCCCAATAATTAATAAGACAACTTGTGTTGTGAGGTCTAAATTACTTTGTTATACGTTTTATTCAAGTCAAAATATTAGTTAAAATTACTACAGTTGTTCTTCATTCACTTGCCTGTGAAGGAAAAATGGCATTACAAATTAAACCAATAGTTTACGCTATTAATTGGAACCTTATAGCTATCAGGTCTATACTGCATATGTTCACGTTTAATCGCGTTTGCATGTAATAGCGAGCGTTCACTGTGCTTCTCATTCAAACATAAGACTGACTTACATTTTTCCTCTCTGTCTTTTAAAATCGCCTCTGCTCTTCTCGGCATTTGTCATTTGCGTAAATATTCCGTCTAGTTTAGTGCTGGAGATCCGCAGCGAGCCGTGAATGCGTCTGGACGCGGAGAGTGAGTGAGTGTGTGTGTGTGTGTGTGTGTGTGTGTGTGTGTGTGTGTGTGTGTGAGAGAGAGAGAGAGAGAGAGAGAGAGAGAGAGAGAGAGAGAGAGAGAGAGAGAGAGAGAGAGAGAGAGAGAGAGAGAGAGAGAGAGAGAGATCAGTTTCCACGCAACCAGCCGCACAGCATCAGACTACAAGTAATTTAAACCAAATAACTGTTCCCAGTTATGATAAGAAATTCCATTAGCTTGCGTTTAGGATTTTTAAGCATATTGCTGGTGTTTGATTGTGAATCTCTTTTTTTTGTAATCTAAAGAAAAACATGTTAGATTCTAAAGTGTAAGTAGACTATTGATAAAGAAAACACCTTGCGTTGATTTTTTGTTATGCCGGTGGTGCCTGTCCAGTCACATTTAAAGGTTAATTTGTGAAAAGATCACTGCCTCCCTCCATGCTGAAACACGACTTTTATATTTACTCTAGCTACATGACCGCATGCTGGCTTGAGAGATCGTTTAAAATTAACGAATCAATTGGGCTTTGTCTCTAAAGCCAAAGGCTATTTTTCTACTTCAGTTCCTGTAATTTTGTTTAGACAAGGGGGGGCTTTGGAATAATGAAACTATTCTTTCACATATTTCACTCGCCCGTGTTCTCTCTCTTTCTCTGTCTCACACACTCAAACTAAACCAGACAGCTACTTAAAATGATGACCTGAGTGTGGGTGGGCTGCTGTTAATTCTGATTGATCTGTGAGTGTGACCTGCTTGGCACTTATGTACTTAATGTAACAAGATGTTTGTATGTTTGTGTGTATGTGTGTGTTTGTGGCTCCCCAAAACGATTGTCTGTTATACTTTTACATTACCAGTATGGTGAAGCTGCACCATATTACTATATTAAAAATCAAAGCAAGAGGGCTGTATTACATAATTCATTTTTAAAATTCTCAGCCACACCAGTATTTTGCCCTTGAAATGGGAGTCAATCATATTGAAGCGGCTTAATCTATAGGTGATTGTATTGTGCTCACTGCATGACCTTGCATTCTCTGTGGCTCTAATCGGTCCCTCTAGGATTTCGCAAATTTTTATGTGATTTTTACGATCAAAATGACTGATTTTGTGGTGGTAATTTCCAGAAATTTGTGAAAAATTTGCGATTTTTATATTTTATAATTAGGACATCACATTTACCATAATAGTATTATGGCAGATGCACAATAATCATACATGACACAAATCACATACAAAATGCATAAAGCGTGTTTATTTGGTCTAATCAAATTTTAATCAAATTAACTTTTAAAACAACCTATGGGCAATTTTTCTACCTGACCTATGTAAATATTAACAGCAGGTGTAGTAATTCATACTGTAGAACTGTGTGTAAATCAAATTCATACATTTGCAAAAAATAGGTGACATTAAAATCGATCTGTAATTCACTGACCAAAACCAAAACTTTATCATAAACTCATACTACAAACAAATAGAATGCAAACATTTGCCATTCTAATATATTAACATATATGCTAATCTACAAACATTTTGTGCTGCCACATTTGGCAGAGGCAATTACATTTAAATTTCAAACAATATCATCCATTTCAAGAAGACCACTTTCCACTTTCTGATTGTAATAGTGAAAGACCAGAGCCCTCCGGTTACTGCTTGTAGAAGAACGCCTTCGGTTGGAGAGGATAAGTTTATACACTCACCTAAAGGATTATTAGGAACACCTGTTCAATTTCTCATAAATGCAATTATATAATCAACCAATCACATGGCAGTTGCTTCAATGCATTTAGGGGTGTGGTCCTAGTCAAGACAATCTCCTGAACTCCAAACTGAATGTCAGAATGGGAAAGAAAGGTGATTTAAGCAATTTTGAGCGTGGCATAGTTGTTGGTGCCAGACGGGCCGGTCTGAGTATTTCACAATCTGCTCAGTTACTGGGATTTTCACGCACAACCATAGGGTTTACAAAGAATGGTGTGAAAAGGGAAAAACATCCAGTATGCGGCAGTCCTGTGGGCGAAAATGCCTTGTTGATGCTAGAGGTCAGAGGAGAATGGGCAGACTGATTCAAGCTGATAGAAGAGCAACTTTGACTAAAATAACCACTCGTTACAACCGAGGTATGCAGCAAAGCATTTGTGAAACCACAACACGCACAACCTTGAGGTGGATGGGCTACAACAGCAGAAGACCCCACCGGGTACCACTCATCTCCACTACAAATAGGAAAAAGAGGCTACAATTTGCAAGAGCTCACCAAAATTGGACAGTTGAAGACTGGAAAAATGTTGCCTGGTCTGATGAGTCTCGATTTCTGTTGAGACATTCAGATGGTACAGTAAGAATTTGGCGTAAACAGAATGAGAACATGGATCCATCATGCCTTGTTACCACTGTGCAGGCTGCTGGTGGTGGTGTAATGGTGTGGGGGATGTTTTCTTGGCACACTTTAGGCCCCCTAGTGCCAATTGGGCATCGTTTAAATGCCACGGCCTACCTGAGCATTGTTTCTGACCATGTCCATCCCTTTATGGCCACCATGTACCCATCCTCTGATGGCTACTTCCAGCAGGATAATGCACCAGGTCACAAAGCTCGAATCATTTCAAATTGGTTTCTTGAACATGACAATGAGTTCACTGTACTAAAATGGCCTCCACAGTCACCAGATCTTAACCCTATAGAGCATCTTTGGGATGTGGTGGAACGGGAGCTTCGTGCCCTGGATGTGCATCCCACAAATCTCCATCAACTGCAAGATGCTATCCTATCAATATGGGCCAAAATTTCTAAAGAATGCTTTCAGACAGTCTCTGTATATAACTTGTGTTTTAAATAATACTATTGGCTGGAACCTTCAATTATTATTATTATTATTAAATTTTTTTTTATATATATATATATATACTTGAAAATAACACTGCATATCTTTTATTTTATTTACTTATCTATTCTTTAAATTTCACTTACTTTTTCTTTTACCTTATTTATTTATTTATTATAATTTTTTGATTATTATTATTTATTCATTTTTTCACTTTCTCCCAGTCTGCTCTCCTGCACAGAGATACCGCCTTGTTCTAAACAAAATGTGTGTTGTTGACGGATAGCTGTTACTTGCCGGTCAACTTGAGGGTGTTACTTGTTTCAGTGGGGTTGCCTTGTCGTTTGGGGACTAGGCTAGGGTTTTGGGGAGGTGGGGAGGTGGGGAGGGGTTGGGTAGAGGGGGGCCCTCATGCTCTACCTATGTTATTTTTTTATTTTTAGTATGTTAGTTTTATACTGTTTCTCCTTTTCCTTTTACTTTATCATGGTCACACAAAACCAATGTAACAGGCAAAACTCTGTATGTCTAGTACACTTAATGTAATAACGTTCAATGTCAGAGGCCTTGGCCACCCAATTAAACGGAAGAGAGTTCTCACATTCTTAAAAAAGGAAAAAGCAGATATAGCTTTCCTTCAGGAAACTCATTTGTCCAATGAGGAGCATAAAAAACTCAAGAGAGATTGGGTAGGGCAAGTTTATTTCTCTAGCTTCACAAGCAATAAAAGGGGAACGGCAATACTTATTCATAAAAAATTACCTTTCATACTTAAGGAACAACATAGCGACCACGATGGCAGACAAATATTAATTAGGGGGATGTTATATGGACAAGAATTGACATTGCTGAACGTATATGCACCGAACGAAGATAACCCTAAATTCATGATGGATATGATCACCCTATTTAATCAATATAATACAGGCTTTGGAATAGTTGCCGGAGATTTTAATTGTCATATGGATAGTAACTTAGACAAATCTTCAGCCACACTGTCTAACCCCAACGCTTCTAAGACTCTGAGGTTAGCCTCGGCTGACGTGGGCCTGGTTGATATTTGGAGAGAACTTAATCCTACAAGGAAAGACTACACTTTCTATTCGGCTAGACACAAATCATATTCTCGGCTAGATTTTTTTTTTTTTACCTCAGGATCAGTTGTCATCCATAGTTTCATGCGATATAGGGCCCATTCTTATATCAGACCACTCACCAGTCTACCTGCGCTTAGCCCTCCCCCAGCAAACAATTCAAATCAAACAATGGAGATTTAATGCCTCCCTCCTCACAGATATGGATGCTTGTAATAATATTAGAAAATGGTTAGAGCAGTACAGACAGGATAATGCATCCTCCCCTGTTACTCCGGCAGTGATGTGGGATGCAGCTAAAGCAGTCATTAGGGGTCAGTTGATCTCTTACGCATCTGCAAAAAAAAAATCTATTATTAAACGAACAGAACAACTTAAGAAAGAGTTATTCAACTTGGAACAATGCCATAAACGCTCTCCTACAGAGGAAAACTTAAGAAACCTAAATACAGTCAGAACTAATCTTAATCAAATTCAAACGGAACATATCAAAAAACTTCTATTCTTTACCAAACAGCAATATCATGAGTATGGCAACAAGCCGAGTAGACTTCTAGCCTACCAACTCAAAAAAGAACGTGCAGAAAGTACAATAAAGTGTACACGTAATGCGGCAGGTCAGTTGAAATACGATACACAATCAATTAAGTCCTCATTTCTCGATTTTTATACACAGCTCTACGCGTCAGAAAATCCCTCCGCAACAGATATCCACAGTTTTTTGGAAAAAATATCCCTACCCTCTATCTCAGAGGATGAGAAGGAGCAGTTGAGTGCTCCATTTACCCCAGAGAAGGTGTTACAAGCAATAAAATCAATGTCCTCTGGAAAAACTCCAGGTTTAGACGGATATTCTGTAGAATTCTATAAGGCTTTCTGGGTGCAAATCGAGCCACTTTTCATGCCCATGGTTACTGATTTTTTCGAAAAGGGCGTTCTCCCTGACACTATGAAGACTGCAATAATATCTTTAATACACAAGAAGGACAAGGATGCGGCCGAATGCGCATCTTTTCGCCCAATTTCATTACTTCCAGTTGACTTAAAGATATTATCTAAATTAATTGCACGCAGGCTGGAAGACCTGTTGCCCCAGA